TGATGACCAGCTTATTCTCTTGACAAAACTCTATTAGCCTTTGTCCTGCTTCGTTCTGAACTCCAAGGCCAAACTTCCCTGTTGTTCCTTTTATCTCTTGGCTCCCTACTTTAGCATTCCAGTCCCCTAGAATGAGAAGAACATCTTTCTTTGGTGTCAGTTCTAGAAGGTGTTGTAAATCTTCATAGAATTGTTCAATTTCAGTCTCCTCAGCAATGCTGGTTGGTGCATAAATACTCTTTCTCTTACCAGTGTCTGAATTATTGGGACAGTAAGTGCCAGTTAATTAGAACAAATAGGGGGCAGTCTATTGTAGGGAGTCTTGAAGTTATTTCTGCTTTGTATACCCTGCATAATCTTCTGTGTACTTGAGAGGATTTTTAGCCACAAAATGTTATACTGTGCCAAGACATCCCATGATAGAAGTTCGCTCATCTACATAATTGGAGAAGCATACCTTGCACTAATAGGAATATTGGTTATATAGTTTTTAAATATATATATTTTGTTTAACTGTACAACCACAGCAACAAAATGGGTAACTTTATCACTGTTCCCAGCTTCTGCCAGATATGTTGAGAAGCCATATCCACTAGTACAGTCATATCAAAATAGTGTGTTAGGGACATTTTGCATTCCAGCTTCTATCGTATTATCTGTATCACATTATATATTTTTCCTGAACCTGTTGCTAGCTTCAACTTCCATTCAGTGCATACGCCGATGTAGGATTTGGATCACCAATGCATGGAAAATTCATGTTGGCTTTCTAGAGCAGCCCTGCCATTATGAAAATAATTGACAAAAACTTTGTTTCCAATCTTCCTCTACACAAGTGAAAGTGACACCACACAAGGGGAAATCCCAGAAGCTGACTTCTCTTTTTATCAGTTAACCACTTTGCATGCAAACACAAAGCTGTTTATCAGGGCTGTTTTTCAGCAAGTGTAAATGGTAGTGGGCACAAGAGGGGATCTTGTAGAGTAGACCATCCTAAGTGCTGCCATTATTGCTGTTAACATTCAGGCTGCCCTTCACTATGTAAAGCTTGGCATCTTTTTTCCTGTTGGCAACATGGGTATGATATTGCACAGCAATATCTGGTTATTTGGGGGAGGGGGTTTGAACTGTGGACACAGGAGCACAATATCCCATATTCATAAACTGGAAGGATTTTGAAAAATCGAATTTCCTGGCTTTTTAAAACAGCAGTTTAAATATACATGCACTACACAGAAATTCCAAAAGAAATTTCTGCTACATAGAATTGCTAGAGGATTCCAGAAGATGAGCACATGATCTGTACTACTGTTATAGGAGAAGACTGAGGCAAGAACAGCTTAGATGTGGCTGCAGTCTCTCTGTGCCAAAATATTTTGAACGGCTGTTTCGGACCTTAATGAAATGGTAAAGGTGCAAGTAGGTACAACACATACAATGAAAAAACATACATGTTCTTTAACCTCTCCATTAAGCTAATGTTGCCATGCCTCCTCCACTGAATGCAGGCTAGAAAGTTATGTTACAATTTCAAAACCCTTTCTTTCAATTGTATATAAATTTTCCAAAAGATACCCCTATGGCTTTTGAAATATATAAAAAAGAAAGAGGTGGAAATTAGCAAAAGAATGTTACTTGAAACCAAGGTCAAAATCATCCATACTGTTAGAGAAAGACAGTGAAAATAACGGGGACAAAAATCGACTAATCTGAAATGTAGTGTTAAGAGGATTGTGAAACAGACACACACAAAATAGGCTGAAGATCTGGTGCTCAAGTTAAGCCTTAACTATCACTCGAGCAGACTAGAAAGTTATATCCCAATTTCAAAACTATTTCTTTGAATTGTATATATATTTTCTTAAAAAAGACACCCCTATGGCTTTTGAAATACAAAAAAAGAAAGAGGTGGAAATTAGCAAAAGAATGTTACTTGAAACCAAGGTCAAAATCATCCATACTGTTAAAGAAAGACAGTAAAGAAAGAGGAGACAAAAATCAAATAATGTAGTGTTAAGAGGATTGTGAAACACACACACACACAAAACAGCTTGAACAGCTGGCGCTCAAGTTAAGCCTTAACTCTCACTCGTGGAAAAAGGAGTCCACTGAGACTATCCTATCATACACATAAATGGAAATACATAAGGGACCAGAATAGACCGTATTGCTGGGGAAAGTGGGGTATCAATGGGATACTCAGTTCGGGGAAAGTGGGGTATCAATGGGATACTCAGTTCAGTTGTCACAAAGTATTACTTCATCCTTCTGCAGCAATAATATAGAGGAGCCTTCTATCCAGTGGCTATCTGTGATCCAGGCGGAAGAGAGGGTCGCATCTAACTCATCTGCCTATTGCAAGGGACGCCTAGTTCCTCACAGTAGTTGGGGATGGGGCGAGGGAATTAACCAGAAAAGAAAACTATCGATGAAATTCAAAGTGCTAAATGCTATGCAAAAGAAATAAAAATCAAAGCAAAAAACTGGCTTCTTCCTTGCCTAAGAAACAAAAAGCCCATGCTTCTCTCCCTGTGGGGAATAGTCAAACCCCACCCTATTCTCAGCCTTTCCACTACTATCCCCTATAGTAAAATTTAATTACAGGACTGAAACGATCAACCTGGAAAACCCAAGCACGGCTTGGCCAACCAGGACTTTTTCTGCGTCCTGTCACGTGCGCTCGCCGGCTGACAGAGCCTACCGGGTCCTACTTCCTGCTCGGCTCCTGTCACGTGTGCGTCGCCGCCTCCTTGCAGGGACCTGCCTGCCTGCCTGCCTGCCTGCGCCTTTGCCCCTTCTGCGAGCTGGTCACTCAGGCGCCGCCTACGGCTTCTCCCACTTTCGGCTGCGGACTTGCGCGTCAAGGGTGTAGGTAGGTAGTCCTTGTAACTGACTGCTGTCAAGGGGGATGCGAAGCTGCTGCTGCTGGCGGCGCCTTATTCACGAGGTGGCTGAGGGACTACAGTACTCTGTGGCTGGAGTGCCCAATGCTGGGCGCCCCTGTGTGAGTGAGCCAAGCTGTCCCTTTAGGCAGGGCTTTATTTTATTTAAGCTGGAACTGGGCAGCAACACCCATGGTTGCCGGAACCTTGTGAGTACGTAAGGGAATTACAACAACCGTTAATAAGTATTTCGGTCAGATTAAGTGACTTGGCCAGAGGCATTCCATCTGGGCCTGGCCACCTCCTTCGGTGGGTCAACTGCGACTATCCTATCATGCACATATCATGGAAATACAGAAGTGACCAGAATAGACGATATTGCTGGGGAAAGTGAGGGGGTGCAGTAGGAAAAGAGAAAGATCTCCTATGAGATAGTTGACTAAAGAGAGGAAGCCACAGATCCTAGTTTGCAAGATCTGAGAAGAACTTAATGGGAAAGGCAATACTGTACTGCTGCAAGTGGGATAGGCAGGAAGATTAAACAACTTAATATGAGATGTTTTCACAATCAGAGCAAAACTGTTAATAGGACATTTTGGAAATCAGTAACTCAGTCGCTAGACATCAGAAGTGACTGGACGGCACAGCATGTTTTGAGTTTTGCATCGTGACAGGATGGGTGGAATAGGTACCCAAGCTCTCCTAACATTAGGTTAGCCTACGCCCAATCTCAGTGGGGGGAAAAAACCCAGTACATACAGAGCTGAAATGAGTGAGCTTCTGAAGATTTATTCTATCCTTTCAAAATATATTGAATACCAGAAATAGAAACTCTTTTCAGTGTCTGCTTGGCCAAAAGGGAGTTAAAAAGTTTTTCTCCTGAAAGTCCTTTAATTTGGTCCCGGCTGACAGAGCCAAATTTCAGATTTCATAGGTCCCTCTCAAACTGAAATTATGTTCACTTTTAAAATATTGGTGTTTCTAGGAAACCAAAAATTCAGGACTCCCCCCCCCCCTTGAAATAGCTACTCTGAATATTAGCATTATAGCTACCGGGGCCCAGATTCCTTCCAAATAAAGAAGGGGCTGGGATTAAACATTCTCTGTTAAGACAAGCAAGTCTGGCCTCTTCAGTGTATTCAATCTATTTTAAATCTTCAGACACCGAAGGTCACTGGCACGGGGGAAGATTTTTTTTAAAATGCAACTCAAAAACCATTTGCCTTAACGTCCTTAATTTGGCACAAAGCAAGGGCAGTCTATTTTCTACATCTGTGTGGATCCAAGGTCCTACCTCAAAATTAAAATGTTTTGTTTGGGGTCTCCCTCAGTTGAATTGGCTAATGGAATACTCAATTCTGCTATCACACAGTATTTATTTTTATTTGATTTATATCCTGCCCATCTGGTCTATACGACCACTCTAGGCGGCTAGAGTACTTGTGCAGCAATAATACAGCCTTCTATCCAGTGGCTATCTGTGATCCAAGCGGAAGAGAGGGTCGCATCTAATTTATCTGCCTATTTCAAAGGACGCCTAATTCCTCACAGTAGTTGGGGGTTGGGCGAGGGAACTAACCAGAAAAGAAAAATATCGATGAAATTCAAAGTGCTAAATGCTATGCAAAAGAAATAAAAATCAAAGCAAAAAACTGGCTTCTTCCTTGCCTAAGAAACAAAAAGCCCATGCTTCTCTCCCTGTGGGGAATAGTCAAACCCCACCCTATTCTCAGCCTTTCCACTACTATCCCCTATAGTAAAATTTAATTACAGGACTGAAACGATCAACCTGGAAAACCCCACCACGTCAACTCTCTTCCCACCCCGCAAACCCCAAAACATAAACCTTCTGCCCAGCGGCGAAGACCTGGTGTTTATACTGTCTCGCAGCAGTTTCCCCCAAGAACCATACCTGGGGGGTGGGCATAACTATCACCAGTCCCTGGTCTCATTGGCTGAGATAGACTGAATGACAGTCGAGGCTTGGCCAACCAGGACTTTTTCTGCGTCCTGTCACGTGCGCTCGCCAGCTGACAGAGCCTACCGGGTCCTACTTCCTGCTCGGCTCCTGTCACGTGTGCGTCGCCGCCTCCTTGCAGGGACCTGCCTGCCTGCCTGCGCCTCTGCCCCTTCCGCGAGCTGGTCACTCAGGCGCCGCCTACGGCTTCTCCCACTTTCGGCTGCGGAGTTGCGCGTCAAGGGGGTAGGTAGGTAGTTCTTGTAACTGACTGCTGTCAAGGGGGATGTCAAAGATCCTAGTTTGCAAGATCTGAGCAGAACTTAATGGGAAAGGTAATATTGCTACAAGTGGGCACAGTAGGAAGATCAAACAACCGAATATGAGATGTTGGTTTGCATGATCTGAGCAGAACTATTAATAATAGGACATTTGGAAATCAGTAACTCATATTGTCACTAGACATCAGAAGTGACTGGACGGCACAGCATACTTAATTTTTTTCTTAATTACTGAGCAATGACATCATGACAAGATGGGTGGAAGAGGTACCGGATCCCTGGTAACATTGCTTGTTAACAGAGCTTCCTGTCTGGGCCTGGCCACCTCCTTTGAGACAACCTCCTCAAAAATATAATTAATTATATCAGCTCGCTGGCATCATTTTAAACCTGTTATGCATGGTTGCATTCATCCCTTTAAACGTTTTGATTGTTTACACGGGTGCACATTGTGAGAAGCTAGAGACATTAAAAGGCCCATCATTGTTTTCTCAGAGATCTGTTCAATTTTCATCCATTGGGCTACAGAAAGGCAGTCTGGCTCCCCCCCCCCTAATTCTGTAGTATTGTTCCTTTTCTTTCCTCATGTGCAGACAGCATCTCTGAGAAATCTTGCTGTGCTACAAGTAGATCTGTTAGAGTTGATGAGACTAGAATAGAGAAAAAAATTCCAAAAAGAAAGGAAGGCAGTATGAAAAGAGAAATACCAAATATGAGAGGGATTGATTCAATGAAAGAAAACATGGGCTTGAGTCTGAAAGACATGAGCAAGGCTGTGACTAATACTGTAGAACCTTTTGGTGATGATTAAAACATAGGGCCTCCACAAGTTAGAAGCAATTTGACAGACATAAAAACAATAATGAAACTGCTAAATATCATTAAAGCCATAGCTTGAAAAGCATGACAGTGATGTTGCAAACCATTTACATTCAATCAACACATATGGAGATGTTTCTTTACAGGAATAGTATCAACTGTGGGTTTTCACTACCTCCTCTTAGAACCATCCCACAATTTTCTCCAGGGGTGCAACTATATCTCTAATCCAGTCCTAATTTGAAAGACAAGCAACTATACACATGTGTTTTTAACAAACTTTTTCTGCTATTGAACTAAATATACCTTACAAGTTGTGTTACACTGCAAAACAGTTACACATGACTGCATTGATGATATGTAAAACTTTTGTGTCATGTGTTTTTACTATTTCAGGCTGGAAAATATCTGAATCTTTCTTTGATCAGAGAAGAAAGCCAGTATGTCTCATTCACGCAAACCCCCTCTTGTGACGGGCATTTCTCCCAATGAAGGTATTCCATGGACAAAAGTCACAATTCGAGGAGAGAACTTGGGAATGGGCCCAACAGATCTTATAGGTAAGTCAAAAATGCTAGTTTGATATTCACAGTATGTATCTAGCATTATTTTTAATGTAATTCTGTAGCATTATGAAAATATTTTGCAGAGGCTGTAAGGGGTTTTTGGATTAAGATCAAGAGATGATACAGAACTGACAGCAAGAACAGTGTGTAAAAAAATCAAACATTCCTTTTCTTCTTACTGATGTCCTACCTGAGGCTGGAAGTTATGGCCATTTTCACAAGATGTAGCAGATCTAAACAGTGATGGTTTGTTGCATCCAGAGTAGTCTTTAAGGCAGGGGTCAGGGAACTTTTTAAACTTTTACCCCCCCAAAAAAAAAAATTTATATATGCCGATATTACCCCTTTGATTTGAAGCTCTTAATGCACCCAGACGCCTCGCAGGCAGGAGCAGCGGCGGTGATGTAGGCCCTCCGGCAGCACTGCACTGGGAGGGGGAGAGGAAGAAAAGTGCAGCTGGAAGTAGTCTTTAAGGCAAGGGTCAGGGAACTTTTTAAACTTTTACCCCCCCAAAAAAAAAAATTTATATATGCCGATATTACCCCTTTGATTTGAAGCTCTTAATGCACCCAGACGCCTCGCAGGCAGGAGCAGCGGCGGTGATGTAGGCCCTCCGGCAGCACTGCACTGGGAGGGGGAGAGGAAGAAAAGTGCAGCTGGTGAAGGCCCCCCGTGCTCCAGCTTATCCGAGCCAAGGGCAAGAGAAAGGGAACTGAGGAGGACAAGGATCCCCCCCCCCCCGTGCTCCAGCTTCTCCTTGCCAAGGGTGAGAGAAAGGGAACTGAGGAGGACAAGGATCCTTCTTCCTTCGCCACCGCTGTGGCTTCTCCTCCTCCTCAATCTCTTCCTGGGCTCTCCCTTTTCGGGTGACTTGGCGCAGCAAGTGAGTGACCAACCTGGCCACTTCACACGTGCATTAAAAAGGACCCAAAGTAGCTTACGTACATCTTGAAATATTTAAAATTGAAAAACATCCCCCCTCTTGCAGCTGATCCTAAGCTCAGGATTTGGTCTTGAGAGGGATCCTCTCTGCCAGATCATCCAAGAAAACATTAACACACACGGAGTGTGTGCAAAAGAGTAAGAGGTCCAGCAGACAATTCCCCTCGCAGGGAAGGCGCAGGGAGGACCCCCTCCCTCCCAAACCCCACTTCTCCTGCCCACCCCCAAGTCGCCAGGGCGGCTCCTCCACCTCCTGCTTGCCCCCAGTGAAGCCCCCTTCCCTCTCCAGCCCCACCTGAGACTTGGCCCTTTAAAAGAGGGAGGGGGTGTCCTACATCTTTATAGGGAGGGGAAGATGAAAGGCAAGTTATTTCCATGTGTTTCTTTGCTGGCAGGATTCAGGGAAAGACGGGGTCTCCTTACCCCCCCTACACACACATACACCCACACACACTTGATGAAGCCTTAGGGCCTTGCAGGGGCATTGGTCTCCCTGCCTCTGGGGGTGGTATCTTTGAATCCCCCTCCTCCTTCCTCTGGAGGAGACCCAGAGGAAAAAAAATGCCTTACAAGCAGGTTGAGCAGCGCAAACCACTCTTCTTAGTACAGTACAGGCAAGACATTGCCATTTCAGTGCTTCTATGTCTTGTAGAGTCCTCAGTGCTGACGTCCAAAATTCCATCCATAAAGTAAAACCAAGAATAATAACATTGTGAAATACAAATTCTCAAAGTCTGTTTTAGGTTTTTGTTATGTATTGCTTTCTTCATTACAAGTAAACTGTGCCAAGCCATCTCTGTTTTTACCTTTATTACGTGGCTTCTATCCCCGTTCACCTAACCAAGTGCCAAGGTATTTGTACTTGCCAGTCCACTCCACAATCTTATTTTGGGTCTTGAGCTGCATTTCTGGTGCTGCTTCGTTTTTACTAAGAACCATGAACATTTTTAAGCATCAGTGTTAAACTATGTTTGGTAATTCCTTCATAGATTTTATTGGTTAAACTGTGCCAAGAATCTAAACTACATTATTTCCATATCAAATGTTTAAAAGCTTTCCATTGTCAATAATGTTGTCATTTGAATCTGCAAGTGCTTTCCCAAAGATATTCTTGGAATACAAATTGAAAAGAAGTGGCAAGATTATGTATTCTTGTATTTTTCTTTGTATCTTTACACCCTCTGTCATCTAACCTTTACCTTCTGCTGCAGGTTTCTGTTGCCAGTGCAGGTTGCTAATTATACAAATATCTCTTGATTCAAGACTTCAGTTTTCTATAGGATTTGAAACACTAATTATATACCATCCGTCCAAGTACTAACAAGGCCCAACCCTGCTTAGCTTCCGAGATCATACGAGATAGGTGTGTTTAGGGTGGTATGGCCATAGGTAGGTGGGACTCATTAGCCTGGGAAGATAGCCCATCTAGGAGAAGGAAAACTCTGATTTCAAACCTCCACTGCCTTGTGGCTATATCCACTGATGGAAAAGGCTTCAAGAGTTAACCTCGAGGCAAAATCCGGAGCTGGAGACCCAAAGGCAGTTTGTGTCGTCTGCCAACTCCTGCGACGTTGCTGGAACCAGTTGTATTGGCTCCTGCCTTTCCATTGGGCTATTTCAGTGATGTGGAGAGGGGGGATTTGCTGCTTGGGTAACAGCCTATCCTCCATATTATTTTACGCAGGCTTTGTGCTCTGGGGAGGACACTCCAGCTTCGCATGCAGCGTCAAAGTCCTCCATACAGTTTTGCTCTTTTTGACTTTCTCACCATCTGTAATAAAATATAAATTTCTTCTGAATGTTCATTCTTTTTGTTCCATGGTTGATTCTTCATGCCTTGTATATGCTTACTACATTCCATATTTCTAATCCAGTTATCAATATGTAGATTTAGAGCACTTTCTGACCACCTGAAGCTTGTTGGAAACTCGTGATTGTGGTATGTCAGCCAGTAAATATAAGTGAATTGAATATTTAGACCTCCAAAGAGTGGGTACTACAGATCTGATAAAAATGACAGCTCATGGCAATTTTGAGTTTAGATCTTTTTATGTTCTGTGGCACATCTGAGCACAGGCAGGACTCAAGAGTAATAAGTGCCAAATGTCTGCTGATAGGCATCTGTTTTAAGAGAACTGGTCGCCATAGCATGGACTTTTGCCTTTTGATACCTTCCTTCATCTAGTCTTTTTTTTTTTTAGTGCGGGTGCATTAGGTGAGTCTTCCCGCCCTCCCTCCTTTTTTTGCTTTCCATAACTGTTTAGCTAAAGTTTTGAGTGTTTCCTGTTAAAGTACTGTATTTTTCCATTTATAACATGCCCCCATGTATAAGACCCCCCAATTTTCTAACCCAAAAATGAAGAAAGCTTAGCTTTGAGGATTCAGCCTCTGGGCTTAGAACATCGGACACTTTGTCTCTGTTGAATCTTGAGCCTACAGGCTCCGCCTCCAAGGAGGCGTGTTCCAATTGGTTTGTTCAGGATCAGCTGACATCAGTTCCATAAGGCTCATGATTGGAGGAAGCCAAGTCTCCTGACTGTAGGAAACTAAGCCTTGTGGCTGAAGTAAGCCTGTTTACAAAGGCAAGGTATGTGCCATTTTGTTCTCTCCTCAGCTATCTCATCTTACTTCCGTGTAAAAGACATCCCTCAATTTTTAGGGTAATGATTTTGGGAAAAAGTAGCATCTTATAGACGGAAAAATATGGTAGCTCATTCCAAAATATAATTCACAATTCTCACAATGGAATTGAGTACACCAAAAGGTGTTGGACTTATCCTTGAAATGTTAAAACATTGACTAATAGCCTATGAGTTTATGTGGTCAGTGGAGTGCTAACCTAAACTACTCTTAATCTCCCTTCTAGCTTTACAGTTCGTGGTTTAAGAAGTAATACAATAAGTTGCAAGCTTTGTCAATTCTGATTGCCTCCCCTAAATTTACACAATAACTTCAGCTTCATAAGCAGTTGCGCAGTGAGGAGATTCTTGTGTGAAATTACATGCATTCTGTTGTGAGATTAGTTCAACTATGGCAGTAGAATAAGAGTTTTTATGATCTGTTCATAAAACCATACAGAGGAGAATTGTCACTGGAAGAAAGTGAATTTCCTTTTCTCGGTAATCAGAATGGGATGATAGGTCCATGGGAGTATGATATCCATCTCAACATGTATCCCATGGTCTCTAAGGGAAGGTAGATCCAGTGTTTGAGAATCACTTATAACACGGTGTTACCTGTTGCTTAGTTCTGTTCTACTGTCTTTTACAAGGTTATGTGATATCTGACTTGCCTAGAGGTTAAGGTTGGTTTCTTCAGTAATGACTAATAAGGTTTACATATTTACAAAAGTAACTGAAATTCTTTAAGTGCTTTTTTTGAAGTGATCCATAAAAGTAAGTAATGTTCAAATCATATTTCTGTATTTGAGGAATTCATGTGATCATAAAATAAAAAATAGTCACCTTCAAGCAGCTTCTGTTTCCCTTTTCTGTCTTATTCTCTAACACTTCAGGGTTGACTATCTGTGGGCACAATTGTCTTTTGACTGCCGAATGGATGTCTGCTAGCAAAATTGTGTGTCGAGTGGGTCAAGCAAAGAATGACAAAGGGGACATTATTGTCACTACAAGGTCAGGAGGCAAAGGGACTTCAACTGTTTCTTTCAAACTCCTGAAACCTGAAAAAATAGGTATGTTTGCCTTCATTATGTCCATGCTTATACTGTAGATATTTAACATTGTTAAAGTTTGATAGCATGGGAGCTACATAAGTAATTAATTCAACAAATTCTATGAATGCTTTAATCTTCTTTTATTCACAGTCAGAGCATTGATCTGTTTAGCTGAGAGTTATCTATTCTGACTTGTATTTATTTTGTTTATTTATTTAAAATATTTTACCCCACCTTTCTCCTTGAAAAAGACCCAAGGCGGCTTACAACAATGAAAGACAATATTTAAAGTTGAAAACAATGAGTATACAATGCTGGTTAACATCATTAAAAGACAATATTTAAAATTATGAACAATGAATAAAAAGGCATCTTATGTCATTAACCAGCAAAATATAATAGAGCATACCAAGAAAATTTGAAAAGTCACTCTGAGAAATGGAAAACACAGAAAAACACAAGTAGTACTAAAAATGCAATCAAAGAAGTAATACATAGCAATCTGTCTAAAACACACACACAGGTAGCTAGTTACTGAGAGAAGGCTTGTCTGAAGAGAAAGGTCTTTGCCTGTTTGCCGAAGGATGGCAAAGATGGGGGCAGCCTGGCCTCCAGTGGGAGGGAGTTCCAAAGTCTGGGAGCAGCAACAGAAAGGCTGTCTCCTGTGTCCCCATCAGATACACCTATGAAGGTGGCGGGCCTGAGAGAAAGGCCTCTCCTGATGATCTTAACACCTGAGCTAGCTCAAAATGGGAGATATGGTCTTTGAGATAGCTTAGACCAGCGATGGCAAACCTCTGGCACACGTGCCACAGCTGGCGCGCGGAGCCCTTTCTGCTGGCACGCGAGCCATAGGTCGCCAGATTGCTACTCCCCCCGACCCTGCACCGTGCAGCCAAACCTCAGGAGGCGGCTGCAGCCGGTGCTGGCGCTTTGGCAGGTAGATCCAGAGCAACTGGTGCTGGCAGCAGAGGGGTCTTGAGGATTCCCCTTTCCGACGCCACTTCCGGGTCCGTCGCCGCTGCAGCAGGCCACTGTTATTTTTCTTCTTCCCCAGTTTGGGCATGCGAGACCAAAAAGGTTCGCCACCACTGGCTTAGACCCAGGCCATTTAGGGCTTTGTAGGTTAAAACCAGCACTTTGAATTATGCTTGGTAATTGGCAGCCAGTGGAACTGCTGTAACAGAGATTATGTGATCCCTGTAACCAACCTCAGTCAACTATCTGGCTGCTGCCTTTTGAACCCGTTGAAGTTTCCTGACAGTTTCCGTTGGCACCCCCACATAGAGCACCTTACAGTAATCTAGCCAGGAAGTTTCTAGGGCATGTTTCAGAATGGCCAGATCAGATATCTCTAGAAACAGATGTAGCTGGTTTTAATTGTGCAGATGTACTCCTGGCCACCCCTGAGACCTGGGCATCCAGGCTCAGGTATGAATCCAGGAGCACCCCCAAGCAACACATCTGTTTTTTCAGTGTGAGTATATTCTCGTCCAGTACGTGTTGCATCCCTTTTCCTCGATCTGCCTTTCGACTGACCTGGAGCAGCTCTGTCTTGTTTGGATTAAGTTTAAATTTATTCACCCTCATCCAGTCCATTACTGATACCAAACACTGATCTAGAGCCAAAGTAGCTTCTTCAGGTTTAGATGGCAAGGAGAGTTAGAGTTGGATGTCATCCACATACCAGTAACACTGGACCCCAAAACTCCGGATAATCTCTCCCACTGGTTTCATGTAGAATCTACATGAAACCAGTCTAAATCTATGTTAAATAACACAGGAGACAAAACAGAACCATGAGGAATCCCACAGGTCAGCTGCCAAGGTTTGAAATAGGAATCCCCCAGCACCACCTTCGGAGTTCTCTCCTCCAGGAAGGACTGGAGTCATCATAGAACAGTTCCCCCAAATCCCATTCCAGAGAGATGGGTCAGGAGGATACTGTGGTTGATAGTATTGAAAGCTGCTGAGAGGTCAAGCAAAACCAACAGGGACACAGATCCCCTATCCAGTTCCCGGTGTAGGTAATCTACCAAGGGGACCAAAGCCATCTCTGTCCCATAAGCAGGCCTGAAGCCAGATTGAAATGGATCTGGATGTTCTGTCTTATCCATGAACCTTGGGAGTTGAGAGGCCACAACCCACTCTAGTACCTTCCACAAGAATAGGATTTTAGATACTGGTCAGTAATCATTCAGTACTGTGGGGTCCAAAGAGGGTTTTTTAAACAATGGTCTTACTATTGCCTTCTTTAAGCATGTTGTGATCCTACCCTATTGCAAGGAAGTGTTCACCACTCCTCCTGCCCATCAACCGTTCTCTTTCTGGCAGCTTTTATGAGTCAGGAAGAACAAGGATCCAGCAGGCACATGGTAGCCATCAACTCCCTGAGGATCCTGACCACATCATCAGGCTGCAGAAACTGAAACTCATCTATTAACACAGGGCAAGCATTACCATTGTTCAGGTCATCTCTGGTACTGGTCTTTTCCAAATCTTCCAAAATGGTTTGGAAGTGGACTTGTTGGGAGTAAATTTGGGATTATGCCAAATATGCATTCAAATACATGCCTAGATACCTGCTTGGAAAAAGTAAAAGAAAAGCAACCTGAAGACAATTCCCACATAAGCACTGAGTTGTGGCCTTTTCTTCAGGCACTTACATTGAAAATACCTAAACTTTCCTTGGTTGTTGTTGAGTATTTAAACCATTTTTACATTAATGTTGCATTTCCATAAGCTTCTGCTTATGGGAAGGTTCTGTTAAATTCAGTAGATATTCCACTGACATCCACATAACTATGTTTTTGTCACAAGAGGTGTTTTAGTAGTTAATGGCACCAGCTACCTTGGAGCCCCTCTTGAGCTACTGGATAACTCAGTGATTTAGATAACTGATTGTGGAGCCAGAGGTTGGGAGTTCAATTCCCCACAGTGCCTCCTTGACAGAGGCTGGACTCGATGATCCATAGGGTTCCTTCCCTTCCAGCTCTGCCGTTCTAAGATGATGATGGTGATGTTTATTCTGCCTGTGTGTGTGTCTGTGTCTGAAACATATAGGAGAAAAAAGGTAGATTTTTGCTAACTGAGGTTTTACATTTACATTTCCTACTATTAAATATATAGGAAAGCAAAAACAATTTCAGGGTTATGTGAGGTAAAAAGCTTTAGTTCCAAAAGAATTCTTAACTGTTCTTAATTGGGGCTACTTGGTTAGGCTGGACTATGATAACAGAAGCAGTGTAGGAATTGCCTGTAAGTTGCTTTTCTTTTACTTTTAGCAAGCATTTTTCTAGGCGTGCATTTTTTGTAACTTCTAGGGCTTCTTTGACTTCTTTTCTCCTGAAACTGGACAGAGCTTATTGTTACAAGGATATGCATTGTTTTCTCTAGGTATCTTGGATCAGTCTGCTGTCTGGGTTGATGAAATAAACTATTATGACATGCGCACTGATAGAAACAAAGGGATGCCCCCTTTGTCTCTACGTCCTGCTAATCCGCTTGGTATTGAGATAGACAAGTAAGTACCAAGTTTCACATTCTTAGCAGTTTTCCGTATATGAGTTCCAGACGTTTTGGAGTTTGAGATCTGAGAATCCAAGTATGTAATTTATAAGATAGAGAATATGTCTTGGTCATGGAAAACTAAAGTTTCTTTTCGATCTCCACTATGCTTTTATTGGACAGGTTCCACCCTTTGGGGTACTTGTTAGACAAGTGGGAAAAGCAGTGCTTTCTCTTTGAAAGGTTATAAGCTTATAAGCATATACACCTGAATATGAAAAGTGAGAAGGTGTCCTGAATGTTTATAAACATGCACGTAAACTTGTCAGAGAGATAGGATTGGCTGATACAGGCTCAGTTCACACCTAATGATCTTTGACTGATAAACCATGGTTCATCAACAGAAACACAACTGTGTGCCAATAAATGCAATCTGATTCTAATTTCATCCTGGTGTGTAAACACATATTCAGCATAAGCTTCTCAATTTAGTTGTGATAGAAACTGTGATTAGCACTTCAATTGAACACATGAAGGGAGGGTTGAACAGGGAATGCAAGTTGATATGTCTCATTCCAAGCAAATAAACCATACAGTATTTGCAGGTATGTTAGTTTGGAGACTCCCAATAAAAATTTTTGCAGATTGTTTCTGTTGATCACCTTGAAGAAGGTCTTCAAATATTTACAGGCCAAAATATGTTAGGTTTTTAGAAGGAAATAACCACAATTTTTCAGCATCCTGAGATCTGTCTCTTCGGTTCCTGTGTTCCAAATGTTATAAAGCACTTAACACCTTTTAAGCCAGACCAGGCTTCTCTGGGTAGCCACCCCAAGGGAGTACCAAAAGTCCTCTACTAGAGGCAGGGCTTTCTCTGCAGTAGCCCAGTCTTTATGGAATCAGCTTCTGGAGGAGTTATGCCTGGCTCCCTCCCTTTTAACATTCAGGAAAAAAAAATTTAAGACCTTTCTTTTTAGAGAAGCCTCCCATACTGATCTGGGATGATTTTTTAAATTATTATTTTCTTTATTTTTATTTTTACTATTTTTATTTTTTCTCAGTCTCCTGTCCTGCTATGTTGTAAACTGGTTCTGCATCATCAGGTTTTTATCCCTGTGTGTGATTTGAATTGTCCTTGAATTTTATTTGTTAAACTGCCCAGAATAGTGCTTTTGCACTAATCGGGTAGTAAATAAATGAAGTAAGTAAATAAGTCCCAGAAAGGATTCCTAGGATTTCTGCCTCTCCATTCCAAATATGTAGCAAAATTACATTTCCTGGTGTCCAGTTTTTTGACAGGGTTGTTACTAGTGTGGAAGTACATTTTAGTTTTTATGGTTTATTATGTATTACATATCTACATAAGGTCAGTGTAACACATAGCAGAGGGCATACCGTATATACTTGGGTGTAAGCCAACCCGAATATAAGCCGAGGCACCCAATTTTACCACCAAAAAACTGGGAAACCTATTGACTCGAGTATAAGCCAAGGGTAGAAAATGCAGCAGCTACTGTTACATTTCAAAAATAAAAATAGATACCAATAAAATTACATTAATTGAGGCATCAGTAGGTTAAATGTTTTTGAAGGTACTGCCCTTTTGAGCTGTGAGCCACACTTCAGTGCCTGCGGAGGGAGAACTCATACCGGATGCTGCGCTTATCTACTGCTGCGTAACAAGATGGATGGAGAAGGAAGGTGGGAGGAGGAAGGTGGGTACATAGAATATGTAGAAGGAGGAGGATGGGAGCGTCCTGGAAGCAGAAATGCAGTGTACTTAACCCGGGTCATCGGACCACCCACAGAGGCTGCAGGCACCAATAGATGAGCGGGGGAGTCCGGAGAACACCTGCACTGCAGGGGGGAACATGTAATTTTGACACTGACTCGAGTACAGTGGACCCTCGACCTACAGAATTAATCCGTATTGGAACGGTGTCCGTAGGTCGAAAATGCATTTCCCATAGGAATGCATTGAAAACCAATTAATCTGTAACCCGCTCAAGAAACACCTCCCCCAAATTAAAATAAACCCCTGCTTTCCCAGGGAGTAGACTGGGCCTACCGGGGGAAGCCTTCCCCTGGTAGGCCTGGTGTGCTCCCTGGGAAAGCCTGCATCAGTGGGAGGGGGGAAACTCTGGATGCCTATCCCGCCACCATGGGAGGCCTCTGGGAGGTCCCCCGTCACCACTAATAGTGCCTCCGAAGCACTATCAGGGGTGGTGGGGACCTCTGAGAGGCCTCAGATGGTGGCGGGGAAGGCCTCCGGAGGTCCCCCGCCACTGCTGCTGGGAGCTGAGCCGCGTCGGGCGATCCTGACATGCTCGGACTCCTGGACTTCCCATCACTGCTGCTGGGAGCCGAGCGGCGGTGGTGGGGGAAGTCCAGGAATCCGAGCATGGCTGGGATCGCCCGGCTTGGCTCTCAGCGGCGGCAGGGGGGGACACACCTTCGGATGCCTTCCAGGGCTCCTCCGCTGCCATGAGAGGCCTCTTGGAGGTCCCCCCTGCCGCCGATCGTGCTTCGGAGGCACTATTGGCAGTGGGGGGGACCTCCAAGATGCCTCCCATGGTGGCAGAGAAACCCTGGAAAGCATCCGGAGGCAGATCGGTGGCCTACAGACTGCTCTGTAGGTAGATTCTCTGGCCGCAAGTCAATTGGAAATCTTGCAGCCGGAGAAGTCCAGATGTCGAAAAGTTCGTAAGTGGAGCCGTCTGTAAGTCGAGAGTCCACTGTATGCTGAGGGTGCTTTTTCAGAAAAAAAATTGTGCTGAAAAATTAGGCTTATACTCGAGTATATACAGTAATTAAATTAAAATGGGTCAAGCATGTTTCCTTTTTGCTTTGTTTCATCTGCCAGCGTTATGATGTCCAGGCTTCTCTTTTGCTTTTGATGTTTGTAATTATTTTACACCTATATTTTATATTTTATATTTTATACCTATGTATTAAAAGTTTAGGTGCCTTAGCCGAATGGTAGCTAGTATAGCATAGCTGGCCACTTGTGTGTGTTTTTAAATATTCTGGAATCTATTGATGTTTTTAAGAAGGATTTAGATTACGGAGTTGAGATACTCAGAGCATTTCTTTATTTCTTTGATGGTGATATAATGTGTAAATATATTAATACCAGAATCAGGGGATTCCCAACAGGGAAGTTTGGCCTTGGAGTTCAAAACGAAGCAGGGCAAAGGCTAATAGAGTTTTGTCAAGAGAACAAGCTGGTCATCACAAACACCCTTTTCCAACAACACAAGAGGCGACTCTACACATGGAAATCACCAGATGGGCAACATCGAAATCAGATTGACTATATTCTCTGCAGCCAAAGATGGAGAAGCTCTATACAGTCAGCAAAAACAAGACCTGGAGCTGATTGTGGCTCTGATCATCAGCTTCTCATAGCAAAATTCAAGCTTAAACTGAAGAGAGTAGGAAAAACCACTGGGCCACTCAGGTATAATCTAAACCAAATCCCTTACGAATACACAGTAGAAGTGAAGAACAGATTTAAGGAACTAGATTTGGTGGACAGAGTGCCTGAAGAACTTTGGATAGAGGCTCGTAACATTGTACAGGAGGCAGCAACAAAAACCATCCCAAAGAAAAGGAAATGCAAGAAAGCAAAGTGGCTGTCCAACGAGGCCATAGAAATAGCAGAGAGGAGAAGGGAAGCAAAATGCAAGGGAGATAGGGAAAGTTACAGAAAACTGAATGCAGACTTCCAAAGAATAGCAAGGAGAGACAAGAGGGCCATCTTAAATGAACAATGCAAAGAAATAGAGGAAGATAACACAAAAGGAAAGACCAGAGATCTGTTCAGGAAAATTGGACATAATAGAGGAACATTTTGCGCAAAGATGAACATGATAAAAGACAAAAATGGGAGGGACCTAACAGAAGCAGAAGACGTCAAGAAGAGGTGGCAAGAATACACAGAGGAATTATATCAGAAAGATGTGGATATCCCGGACAACCCAGACAATGTAGTTGCTGACCTTGAGCCAGACATCCTGGAGAGCGAAGTCAAGTGGGCCTTAGAAAGCCTGGCTAACAACAAGGCCAGTGGAGGTGATGGCATTCCAATTGAACTATTTAAAATCTTGAAAGATGATGCTGTTAAGGTGCTACATTCAATATGCCAGCAAGTTTGGAAAACCCAACAGTGGCCAGAGGATTGGAAAAGATCAGTCTACATCCCAATCCCAAAACTATTTTGTTTAAATTATTGGTTGTTTTATCTTTATTTTGATTTTGTATTATTTAGTTCATTGTTGGTATAGTGTATGTTTTATTCGTCTAACATGTAAACTGCCCAGAGTGGCCTAGTAGCCAGATGGGCGTTTTGAAGCTGAACAAATAAATAAAAACATTTAATTAATTAATTAAGAAACCTAAATATTTTATCTTATTTGTTTGAAGGTACTTCATGCTTTTGCAGTAAAATTCTTAACAGTGGTCAGAGTAAGAAATTGCTTCCCATTTGCAGTTGATCTATTTCAAAATGTTTTGATATAACTTGAATATTTTGTAATTACTGTATAAATATATTACAGAATGTCATATTCCTGTGGAAACCCTTTGAAGTACATGTAACTGCATATTTTTATTATAGATGTTTGTTAAATCTCCTTTTTGTGTTACTCCTACATCTAGATTGCTTTTAGACTTTGTTGCTTCTCAGGGAATTTTGTCTAACCGTTAAAGTGTATGCTGTGTAAAATATATAGCATCTGGCTGCAGGTTATTTTCTTTTTCTTTCTTTTTTTTTTTAGTAAAAATAAATGTGCTACATTTTAGGCTGGATTGGTCTTGGTGCACATGGGTAGGAGGGCCTTTAAACTTTCCTCAGACTTTGTTATTTTATTTTATTTTTAAAAAGAAAAGTCTACATTTATCCTTCTTTCTTATGGGGGCTAGAAAAACAACAATCTCTATTTGTCACCAGTGGATTTGTCCTCCTACATAGCAGGAGGTGGTCTGTATATTAGAAAAAAAGCTGGGGTGGTTCTA